AATCTGAGGGGACCCGGTAATGTCGATCGCCCCAAGCTCGTATCTCGGGATACCTTCCTCTACTCGAGAAGCATCGCCCCCAGTCTCTCTCTCGACCCCCTTAGCTACGGGCATATTGGCATCAACCCCTTATGGTTCGGGAGCTTCGGCCAAGACTCCCTCATCGATCTCCTCATGTTGGGACGGCCCGATTTCGGCATCCGCCGGTTCAGAGGACCCTTGCATCACAACACCTGCCTGCACACGGGCCACCAACTGGGATTTCTCTTCTTTTTCTTCTTCTTCTTCTTTTTCTTCTTCTTCTTCTTCGGGCTCGTCCCTTAATCGACGGATCGAGTCCGAGGATAGAGCGCCAATGCTTCCCTTGGGCTTGCACGACTTCTTCTTTGGTTTCTTCTTTTCTGAGTTTGGAGAACTCGAGAACCTTTTCCTCTTCTTTTCATCACCCTGCTTCGGAGCAGGGGACTTGAGAGGCACATCCTCCTCACCGGATGGAGGCCTCATGGAAACATCTTTGGGGAAACCTACAAAAGAAAATAGAACGATAAGAATTCGACTGTATGAGGAGGGAATTAAATATTATTACATCAAAAGAGAAAACTTACCATGATTATGGGCCTCCCATCGACCCTTCGATAATTCTATCCAAGACCTCTCAGAATACGGCCTCTATGACACAAGGCCCTCGACCCATTCCTTAAGCTCAGTAACCGCAACTCCAAAAACATCAATGAAGAAAGTGATAAGAGGGAAAATAACAAGATTGAACCTTCAAAGCATAGCACTACTTACGTTTCATGTTCCATTTCTCGGGAAATGGCATGTCTTCAGCGGGGATCAGGTCCGAAGTCTTTACTCGAACAAATTGGCACATCCAACCTCGGTCTCGAGCTTCATCTATGCTCGAGAATGGGGCCCAACTGGCCCGGCGAGCAAGCTTGATCAGCCCCCCTCGATAGAGTCGGGGACTGTAGAGGCGCATAAGGTGGTTGAGGGTAAAGGGATATCCCTCGATTTTTCTTACGAAAAATCGGAGGAGAATCACTATTCTCCAGATTGAGGGGTGGATCTGGCCAAAAGTCACATCATAACTCTTACAAAAGGCAATGATGATAGGGTCTAAGGGACCCAACGTAAAGGGATAAGTGTAAATACTTAGAAAACCCTCCATGTGGATAGTGATCGATTCCTCGGGCGAAGGAACCACCGCATGCTTATTGACCCAGTTGCATTCCTCTTTAACCTTGGTGAGAAGACCTTCGGTGATTGTGCATATGTACCTCGAGACCGGCTCACATCGGCCCGGTACCGAGGAGGTCTTTTCAACCTTAAAATCGACAATAGTAGGGCACCCTATCGGAACGAATTCCTCAGGGTGACGTTCCGCCGCAGCCCCGCCACCGGTGGGTCGTGATGAAGAAGCGGCCTCCTTTTATGGTACAGTCTTAGAAGTTTTCACCATTGAAGAACAGAAGAAAAGAAAGTTAAGATGGTATGCGGTTTGATGAAAGTTCAAGAAATTTGAGTGCAATAGTTGCAAAGCAAAGGGATTTTTGAAGAAAAAACAAGAATGGAAGGATCTTTGAACGTAAAGTTTGAATGAGGAAAAGCTAAGGTACTTATAGTTTGCTGGTGATGGTTCAGAACCGGTGGTGGCCGACCAGCGACTAACAGGAATTTAATGCCTTGATAACTAGACCGACAGGACGTTTCGATATCCATTTGTCGCCTACGTCATAGTCGGGTTCGTCGCTTACATCATGGCCCATCGAGACGAGATTAGGAAGTTCATATCATTTCTCGTCATTTTCTCTCCGAGAAACGAGGGGACTATCTGTATACGGTCAAAATCGGGCCTGTCCCTTGTGTGATTAATCGAGACTGAAATATGATAGGTTAAGGTTCGACCTCGTATTATATCGAACCATGATGCAAAATTAGATCGTCGAGCTCGTGACCCAAAAACTATTCAAGATCGAGATCGACCAAGATCGAGATCGAGCAAGATTGAGACCGAGCAAGATCGAAACCGAGCAAGATCGAGAAAAACTTACCGAGCCAAATAACGAACAACCAAAATATCCGCGATCGGTCGAGGATCACGGCGGAAATCTCGGCACATATCAAGGAAAGGCCGAGTAATTAGCAAATCATAAGATTTGTTACCCTGTATAGAATTGTACCAAGAGTAGGATACCTCTACTATATAAAGGGGGGTCTGATCATTTATTATACACATGACATCAACGCAACATAAAGCAATATACTGACATTTTCTAGTTTTTATTATCTTGTTACTCTATTAGCCTGTTCATACTTCAGTTAAAACATCTTTGGTTCGAAGGTGGTCAAACTCAAGGGCCAAAACAATTCGATACGTGTGGTTTGCATTTATTTTTCTATTGTCAATTTTAATATTAATCTGTCTTCTTAATTTGTGCCAAGTTATATCACGTATCCTTAAAACCGCGTATAAATTTAATTGTTATTCGTTTTTTAGGGTAAACAATACAAGAATTAGATCTACAACATACCTGAAGGAGAAAATCAAACTCGATACAAAGATAGTTAAAGACTCGTACTGAAAACGTCTAATAAAATAAAGCAATTTAACAAAATAAAATAACAATAAGAGAGGTAAGATTAAGAACATATGTAGTAGAACTCTTTCTTTTCTCTTTCTTGGTGGTCTCTGCCGATATAAATTGCCATGCATTTATAGGCAAGAAAAGGTAACTTAAAATCTATCTTGAATAGTGCAAAGATAAATATATTATAGGAAAATACATCCTCACACTATTTACAACATGTAAATCTATCCATACACTATTTACAAACATTCATAACGATAAATGGATATATGGGAAATTTTGAGAGAAGGAAGAGGGTGACTTGAACAGAGGGATTCCTCGACGGCGTTATTCTGTAGAGCCAGCGAAGCCACGTGAGTATGTTTTGAAGCTCGTCTTTCACAGATCACCATCAAGCTGGACAAGGGTCCCATCCCTTTTGATACTGCCACCACGGAATGATCCCATTGCCAGCTGCGAATAATCTTTTCTCCATTGCACCCTTTTTTTTTTTTTTTTAAATTTTTCACCCAATGTTCGGTATCCGCATTGGAGCCCGACTATATCTGAATTCGTGCCGGATAGGGTCCCATTCGGGGGAAGCTTTCCCTACCAAAAACTATATCCAGAGCTCAAACCCGAGACATCTGGTTAAGGGAGGAACAACTCCATCCGGTGCACTATATCCTTTGGTGGTCCCATTATACCCTATTTACCGACTCAGATGCTCTCCCTAAACTCTAGCGTTTGATTCCTTTGTTTAATCTTTTGCATGAATTATTAGTTTTTCGACTTAGTTAATGAAAAATAATTCATTTGCTCAACTTTGATTTTTGATAACAGTTGCATTTTATACAGTATAACAAAAGCCTCAAAACATTTGAGATATTTGGAGTAAATTTCATGGGTGGTCATTCAATTTTTTATTCATTACACAAAAGTCACTTTTATTTTATTTTTTGTTACGTAAAAATCATTCAATTTTGTGTTTATTACCCAAAAGTCACTTTTCTTTCTTTTATTACACAAAAATTATTTTATTTTGCTCTACTTATCACAAAAATTAACTTTGCCAGATTTTATAATACTTTTACTTGAAAAGTCTATTATGTCCTTTTTATTAATCCTCTCATTTGTGTAATACGTTCTATATTATATACTATATAATATTTTTTTTTCTAGGTATTTTACTTATAATTAAAATAACTTTAAATTATTTTATTTATTATTATTATAATATATCCATACATTTAATTTTTTTTATGGCACTCAATTTGGTTAATCATATTCAAACATGAACATATTTTAAATATAAAAATGAAAAAAATAATATTTATTTAAAAGAATAAAAACATATTTGTTTAACAAATGATAGTTTTTTTATCGTCAATAAAATTTTAAAAAAAGTTTCAAAGATATTTATGTTTGGTATTAAGTTTTTTTAAAGCTTTATCTATAATATTATTTATTTAAAAGTATTAATCTGACGTGTCATTTTGCTAAATGTGGGTATTTTATTTATTAAATTAATGGGTATGGCTTGGCTAATAAATCAACGAACTTTGATTTTTTAATTTCATTAAACATAATTCATTAAGCATGATTAAGAACGTGGACTTGAGATCTGTTCACGGTATTGTTACTGAAAAAATTTAATAATACTACTTATATATCTTGAAAATTAATATTAAGAAAAAAATTAAATGTACGAATATATTACATAAATGTGAGGATTTATAATGTCTATGACATAATAGACTTTTCAGGTGAAAGATTTGTAAAATCTGGTCAAAGTGATTATTCTAATAACTAGAGCATACTAAAATAATTTTTGTGTAACATGAGTAACACTGACCATTCGTTGAATTCAGCCCATCTTATCCCAAATTGATACATGGGTAATTTTGCTAAAATAACTTTAAAATAATTTTTATTTGTTGGATATGTTATATATGACCATAACAAAAAAAAGTCTTATTTGATAATTAAACAATTCATAAGAAAATAATAAAGCTTGTTAAGAGTTGGGTGGGATGGACTATGACCCAAATTTTAGCTCAACTTGACCCAACATATCTCAGCTCAAGTTACCTTTAGGTTGGTCACATTTATTGACTTAACCCATTTTAATCTGTCCAAAATTAGTGAAACCCACCCATTTGACACCCCTAACCACAAATGAGGGAGGGGTAGGTGTACGTGGTTTGGACGCAAGCGTATTTATGTGAATAAGGGGAAAGACGGGGGGTGATCTGGGGAATTAAACTTGGAAGCACAGTTGGCTACATAATGAAAACAATTTTCCAAATTGGTCACATTAAAACCAAGCGAATAAAGAAGAGAGTATTCGCTTTCTTCATTCAAGTAAGTAACACTGACAATTTTTTCTCCAGTTCTTCTTCATCCTACTGGTTTTTCTCAATCATAAACTTTGTACTCGTTAAGCTTTTCCTAATAAGTTTTTCCCTTTCCTTGTTGCAGTATTTGGATTGGAAGAATTGTTTTAGAAATGATTTTGAACAATAATTATCTGTAGCTTTAAGGAGTAAATATTTATCCAAAGAATTGCGACATATCTAGTTCTCTTTTCTTCCTTTGACCTGCAAATGTAGCAAGAAGACTCATCATAACTTTTTTTTCCCTGTGTTACAGATTGCTTTTCCTCTGTCGTTGGTGCTTTGTGTTATTAGAAGACATAAAGATGAGCTACTGGAAAGACAAGGTTCTTCCAAAGATCAAGAAGGTTTTTGAAAAAAATGGACCCAAAAAGGCTGCTGCTGCTGAGGCCTGTGAGGCCTTTGATGTGGCCAAGGTAAAAAAAATTCTTTTTGTCCGTTTTGGATATTTCAAAGTAATTATTACAAAGGACTACGACCTCATTTTTCAACAAAATGAAAGACAAATTTTACTTAATCACCTAGTTCTTATTTAATAATAAATCTCAGGAGCAGTACAGCAAAGAATTCGATGAAAAGAAGACTGAGCTCCAACCTAAAGTCGTTGAAATCTATGAAGCTGCTGCAGCTGAGATTAAGGTATTTATAAAATCAGTTCCGTACAATGTTTTACGAAGGAATTAATTAGACTAAAGAATTGTTACATACATACAAATATAGGACGTATGATAATCTTTTCTTTGTGATTGAAAACAAAAACAAGACTTTGGTGAAGGAACCAAAGGTTGCAGGACTGAAGAAACACTCAGCTGGAGTTCAGAAATTCCTTGATGAGCTTGTCAATATTGGTAAGTCTTTATTTGTTCCACCGTTTGTTCTTTATCGTCACACTCTGTACATGTTCACTGTGTGGCGGCGTTTATAACTTCACATATAATGGACTTAGTTATAGTATGGCGTTAGTTCGGGGTAGTTTGATTACTCTGATTTGAAAAATAACCTCAGTTAAATTCAGCAACATTATTTTGTGTTGCGTTTGGTTGGCATTTAATTTTTGTTATATAGATAATACCGGTATAGTTTTATACTTCAAGTTTTATATTATTTTATAACAGATCTAACATGAGATAACTTTTTATACATGAATTAGTTTACAAGATAAATCGCCTAAAAGATGAAAATAACCTTGAATTCATCCTTTTTTATTTTCTATTGTATTTCAAAAACAAGGATAAAATTGTGAACTTTTATATCACGCGCTATATATTCCATTTTTATTAATGGAACCAAAAATCCTAAAAACGAAAAATATGTATACACTAAATTATCGATGATTATTAATCTCTTATAACGCCTCACGCCTGTATAACTTTGTTCGCCAACCAATCGAACTAACAATATTGGTTTCCTTATGCTTGGAATAATGAATGAAGAATTTCCGGGATCCAAAGCAGTCAGTGAAGCAAGCTCGAAGTTCGGGCCTTCCTATGTATCAGGTCCCATAATCTTCGTGTTAGAGAAAGTGTCCACGTTTGTAGTCACCGAAGATAAGAAAGAAGAGGAAGCAGCCACAGCAGCAGCAGTAGAAACAACTGGCACAGTAGCTGAAGAGGTGAAGGAGAAGGACATAGTGGTTGAAGCTGGAGATGAGAAGAAAGAGGAAGCAGAGCCAGCAACAGAGACAACCAAAGTTGAAGAAGTACCTGCTGCGGTAGCAACTGAACCACCAAAGGCAGCTTGATGAATGACCAGTAAATGATAAGCAAACCCTGTGTGTAAAAGTATTTTTCTTTTAAATATTATCTCTCTGTGTAAAAGTATCCTCTTTTCTCTTTTTGGCCATTGTATTTTTACTGTAAGAAAGAAGACATAAAACATGATTTGTTATTCTTTATAATTGCCCTCTTCATCTTTCTTGCAAAAACATTTGTAACCTTGTATAATATCGGAATAACGTTACCCGTTGATTCCTCAAAGCTTTCATTTATTTTAGGTTAAAAGAATTGTTATAAAACAATCGAACACAAGAAAGGCAAATATATATAGTATGGTAAATTATAGAAACATTAGTGTGATAAAACGAAAATTGAAGGAAAATTATTGAAATTATCCCCTTTTGTTTTTCGTAATAACTGTGAATATTACCATTTTCAAATCGCATTAACTCATACACCTAAGAGCACCCAAGTACCAGTCTCGCAGAACTGGCAACAGTAGGTCTCACGCTCTATTTACAAATAATGCTCAATGAAATATCCCTTTAATTTTTTTTATGGGAAAAGGGCCAAATATACCCCATTACACTCATATATTGTCTACATTTAACCTCCGTTATACCATCGGGCAAAATTTATCCCTACCGTTATACTATCGGGCCAAATTTATCCCTACAATCATCAAACTTTTTAAAAATACCCCTTGATCTGTTAAGTAATCCAAAATCTCCCAAAACTCAAGGCTTTAAACCTCGTTTAATAGAATCGCTTAGGAATAAGTGGGTTCTACTTGGCATAAATTGGTTGTTCTTGATTGTAACTCTTTTATAATTGGGAAAATCATAAGGAGGAAATACTACATGATTATTGGAAAATATAGGGTAGTCATTTAGGATCCATTTGCATATCAAAGGACCTCCTATTAGAAATATATCATATTAACACTGATAATATAACATTACGATGACGGGGACACAACCTTGGTTTCTTAATCCATTAATCAATTCTCTTAACAAAATAGCATTTCTTAATAATTCACAATTACAAAACTCTTTCCAAACTAACGGAGTAGAATTACGGCTTAAGTCAAGTTACACGCTATTCAAGTAACCTTTTCACACCTATTCCGTGTGGGATTCGACTCCAACCTAGTTGGGTTATTATATTTGACATCGACTGCCTACACCATTTATATAGGTGTAATTTGAGCGTATCAGCTCTCTATGAGGCCAGGTATGGAACAATGTAAGATAAGATCCCAAGCCCTTGTGTGGCCGAGTACGGTCGAGCTCTCTACGAGACCGGTATGTAATAATGTAAGTTAAGACACTACGGAGCCTTCACGTGGCCGGGTACGGTATGGAGCATGTGCCCAATGAGGGGCTGGATAATATTGTTGTGTATCGTAAGTTGTGCATTATTTCCATGAGTGGCTTACCTTTTTTTCGAAACTTGCATGCTTTAAGTTTGATGGGTTCTACCATTTAAGTTTATGCCCCTGGTGGCTTGTCCTCAGTAATCAAGTTATGATCTAGTACTCATGTCTCTAATATTAATGCACCGATTTTACATATTTTCTTACTCTTGCATACTCAGTACATTTTCCATATGAATGCCCTTCCCTTTTGGGCGCTGTGTTCATGCCCACAGGTGCAGATAGACCCGGTGACGCCCATCCCCAGTAGAAGTATTGTTCTAGCTATTTGGTTATTGCTCTGCACTCTTTCAGAGTAGTAGTTCAGAAGTCAATAGGTACTGAAGTAGATGTCATAAATATTTTGGGTATAGTGGGCCCCTGTCTCGACCAAGTTGTGTAATATGTATATATTTTTTGGCACTCTTAGAGGCTTGTAGACTAGTGTTAGTGTTTGGTTGCATGTAATGGTCGGGTATGACGATATTGGTGACAGTGATGGTCATGTATAAAATGCCATTGTTTCTTTTGTTAATCAGCTACACACATCTTAATTCTGGTGATTATTACTGGGTGGCCTCAATGGCCCAAATTTTATGAATAAGAAGAATGTAAGAATAGACTTCGGTTCGCACGGGGCTCTAGGCGTCGTGTGCCGGTCGCACCTCCCAAGGTCTGAAAGTGACAAACTTGGTATCAGAGCAGGTTGTGCCCTAGGAAGTCTACATGCCATATCTAGCAAACTCTTGTTTATGGGTATGTTGTGCACCATAATTATAAACAGGAGGCTACAAGATATCTAGGATGAATACCCTTCTTTCTGATCTAGATCGTGCGGTAGAGCTAAATCGTAAGTATTCTCTTCTAACTCTCATCGTGCTTGTGTTTATAGCAATGCCTACCACGAGATGCCAAGCACTTGCCCAAGGATTGAATGAAGAAGCCGGAGAAGGTACCAGTAGTTATCGCCTTCCCAGATGGGTCAGCATGGACCCAATGATGAGGTTGGGACACAGGTTTAGAGACCACACCACCACCCCCGAAACAGCATAAAGCAGTTAATGTCTCTCTTATTCCTCCTCCAATTTAGCCCGAATAGGATCTACATATGAGAAGTTCAGTGCAATTATTAACTCGATTAGTGACCTCTTAAGCCTAATATCTGGCCCTTGCCACCTCAGATAAAGCAGTCAGTACGAGGGTTCGAGATTTCATAAATTCGGACACCCTAATATTCATAGGAACAGATCCAAATGAAGATCCTCAGAACTTTTAGATCAAGTGTAGTGGAACTTACGAGTGATCCATGCCACTGATACCGAGTCCGTATAACTTGCCTCTTACATGTTGAGGGAAATAGAGGTTGTGTGGTATGAGACTTGGGAACAGTCTAGGGGACCTCTTACCCCAGCAGCGGGATGTCGTGAATTTTCTGAGGCATTCTTGTAGCAATAGTTTTCCTTTGAACTTCGCCGAGCTAGACAAGACAAATTCTTGCGGTTGGAGCAAGGTAATATGAGTGTCCGGGAGTACAACATGTAGTTTAACTCCTTGGCTAGGTATGCTCCATTGGTGGTGGCCGATATTAGTGATCGGGTACATCGATTCGTGGATGGTTTGGGGCCGCATCTGATAAATAAATGTACCATAGCTTCTCTGAACCCGATTATGGATATTGCTCGTACTCAGGCCTGCATATAGAACTTAAAGGATCGCAAGAGGCTACAGCAAGCTGCTCGAGAACACGACCAGAGTCAATCTAAGAGGGACAGGTCTACAGGAGATGCAGGAGAACTTCGAGGCGGGATAGATCTCCATTCCCTCGGCAGTCACCAAGCTCGGTGTCTAACGTGCCATCACAGTCCCAAGGTCAGTATCAAGAACGGGCCACTTATTCCAGCCAGGGCCAGAACTTTCCAAGGCAGAGTTCGCAGAATAGTGGGGACACTGGCAAAATGAGACCCCCCATGCCACGTTATGGCCAATGAGGTAGGAATCATTTTGGGCATTGCCACCAAGGCTCAAATTTGTGCTATGCTTGTGGGCAGCCCGGTCATATCATGCGCTTTTGCCCGATGAGAAGTATGGGTGGCGTGACATCACTAGCGAGATCAGCGACAATTTCCTCATTGACAGCATATCCTCGTGAGCAAGGTATACGACCGCCGATGAAAAGAGGTAGAGGTGGAGGTAGAATGTCCAGCCCGGGTGGGCAACGACAGAATCACACTATGCATTGTCAAGTCGCCAGCATTTTTCGTCATCACCAGACGTGGTCACAAGTATATTATCCGTGTTCTCAATAAATGTGTATGCTTTAATAGATCCGGGTTTTACCCTATCATACATTACTCCATTTGTTGTCGGTAAATGCGGTAAAGTGTCTGAGTTGTTACGACAACCATTTGAAGTGTCCACGCCGGTGGGAGAGTCTGTGGTTGTTAGATGAGTGTATCGAGGTAGCGATGTGATGATTCATGATCACCATACCTTGGCCAATTTGAAATGATAGAATTTGATATTATTATGGGAAAGGATTGGTTGGATTCTTGTTATGCCATAGTGGATTGTTGGAAGAAGGTTGTTCGCTTTACCATTCCGGGAAAACCTATTTTAGAATGGAACGACGATGTCGCAGCACCAAAAGGGAAGTTTATTTCTTAACTTAAGGCTCGAAAAATGGTCATGAAAGGATGTTTCTATTATTTGGCACAAGTGCAAGATGCGGAGGCGGAGCCTCCCACCTTTTAGTTCGTCCCGATCGTTAGTGAGCTTCCCGATGTATTCCCAGATGAGCTCCCGAGTATCCCACCCAAGAGGGAGATTGAGTTTGCCATCGATGTGCCACCCGACATGCAGCCGATATCTATTCCTCCGTATATGATGGCTCCTACCGAGTTGATGGAATTAAAAGACCAGTTGAAGGACCTTCTCGATAAGAGCTTCATTCGACCCAGCACTTCTCTATAGGGAGCCCCAGTACTATTTGTTCGAAAGAAAGATGGTTCATTAAGGATGTGTATTGATTATCGACAACTGAATAAGGTTACCATCAAAAATAAGTATTCGCTTCCAAGGATCGAGAACCTGTTAGATCAATTGCAAGGTGCTAAGTATATTTCAAAGATCGATCTCAGATCTGGGTATCATCAGATAAGGATCAAGGAATAAGATGTTTTGAAGACAACCTTTCAGACAAGATATGGCCACTAGGAGTTTCTTGTTATGTCTTTTGGCCTAACTAACACACCAGCGGCCTTCATGGATCTGATGAATCGAGTATTCAGGATATTCTTGGATATCTTTGTGATTGTGTTCATTGACAACATTTTGGTGTACTCTCGATCAGAGCCAGAGCATGCAATGAATTTTTGAAAGGTCCTACAAACACTTAGGGATCACAAGTTATACGCCAAATTTTCCAAGTGCAAGTTCTGGGTGAACTCAGTGGCCTTTATTGGGCATATAGTATCGGGTGAGGGTATCAGGATTAATAGCCAAAAATATTGAAGCAACTAAGAATTGGCTAAGGCCCATAACTCTTACCGAGGTACGCAACTTCCTGGGATTGGCCAGTTACTACCGAAGTTTTGTGGAGAATTTATCATCCATAACTACTCCATTAACAAAGTTGACACATAAGGCTGTGAAATTCCGGTGGACCGATGATTGTGAGAAAAGCTTCCAAGAGTTAAAGGATATGTTATCATCGGAACCAGTGTTAACTCTTCCTGAAGGACTCGAGGGGTATGTCATATATATTGATGCCTCCATAGTGGG